CATCGTGGAATTGGCGGATGACTTCGATCAGCTTCGCGGGAATCCCGGCCCTGGCAAGCACCTTCCATAGCACCTCTCGGTTGACCGAATCATACGCCTTGTTCAAGTCGACGAAGCACATGTAGAGCGGTATTTTCTTTCTCCTCCCCAGCTCCTGGAGGCNTCGGTCCACCGAATCATACGCCTTGTTCAAGTCGACGAAGCACATGTGGAGCAGTATTTTTTTTCTCCGCCCCAGCTCCTGGAGGCGGCGCACGACTAACAGCATGTCGACGGTTGATCGCTTGGGTCGAAATCCGCGCTGTTCCTCCGGGAGGATGTTGTTGGCTTCGCAGAAGGCGCTTAGACGGTTGGTGATGATCTTGATGGGGACCTCGCCTACATGAGAGTAGCGAAATTCCCCTGTAGTTATTACAGTTGGATCGGTCGCCCTTCTTGTACAGCACCTTGATGGTTGCATCCTTCCACTCTCGCGGAATATCTCCTCCGTTCCAAACCTTGACGAGGATGGTGTGGAGGTGTCCCAGGACGAAGGGTTCGTCGTCATCGATCTTGAGCAGCTCGGCAGGGAGGGAGTCATGGCCGAGTGCCTTCCAGTTCTTGAGGCCTTTCGTTGCCCGTGCCACCTCCTCGAGTTCTGGCACATCTCCCAACCGTTGAGTGTCACGTGTCGCTGGCCGCTGCGTCACCCGTTCGATGATGTCTGGGTTCAGGGTGGGGGATTTGGTGTTGAATAGGGTGCTGAAGAATCTCGCCCACCGCTGGAGGATGTCGTCCCTGTTCCGGAGCAACACACCGTTCTCATCCGCGACGAACTGCTGTCCCCCCGCTTGTCTCCGGCTGAGGCCCACTGATCTCTTGAGGTGTTGGTACAGTCCTCGCATGTCGCGATCTTTGTNTGGGTTCAGGGTTGGGGATTTGGTGTTGAGTAGGGTTCTGAAGAATCTCGCCCACCGCTGGAGGATGTCGTCCCTGTTCCGGAGCAACACACCGTTCTCATCCGCGACGAACTGCTGTCCCCCCGCTTGTCTCCGGCTGAGGCCCACTGATCTCTTGAGGTGTTGGTACAGTCCTCGCATGTCGCGATCTTTGTAGATTTCTTCGAGCTCAGTTATATATCCGTCCAGGTGGGCATAAATGCCCGTTCCGACTGCTGTAGCCACTCCCTTACACGCTGCTTTGAGAACCCTGCACGTCGCTGAGTTCCAGTTGCCCCTCATCGCCCGGCGCGCTTCCCGACGTTTGGTAAGGGCCTGCTCCAGCGCTGCTCGCGTCTCTGGGGTCTCACACCACTCCTGCGTGCGGCGTCTCCGCGGTTCCTCCCCCAGGGTCGTCCGCGCTGCGTCGAGGAGAGCATTGGTGAAGTCGGTCGCCAATTCCGCGGCGGTGGTTGTTCGCTCGTCCGGTCGTGTGTCGAGGTTGAGGAGGAACCGATTAGTCACCGCACACCGTGCTGCTTCGAACTGCAATTCCCGTCGGTTGAATTGCTTCTGTTTCGGTTCAGTCCGGACTGCACGGTTGTGGGCAAGCCTGCCACCGAGGTTGACGGTGGCTACTACCATGTTGTGGTCTGAGTCTGCTTTGACTGGGCGAACCGGCTGGGGGATGACGACCACGTTTAGGGGCTCATGATACCTCGTACTCTTAGTCTCATGTTGTCAAGGACTCCGCTCCGAACCATCACAAGCAGCAGTGCCTTCGTCGTTATCCCGCCGAGGTTGTGCGTTCGTTCGTGCATAGCGACTGGGTCTAAAGCGCCCCCCGTGCAAAGTCCTGCGTTTGAGCGGCGGTGGCGGGGCGTTTCGTTTGGGACTTGCGCTTCCATCGCCATACCTCTGTCCGCAACGCTATTTGCTTTCATGATGTATCACTCTGAGGGTGTTTTTCTCATGTGCTACCCCGTTGTCTGGTGTTGTTCCGAAACAGCATAAACCCCAACAACTGCAATGTGGCACGAATAATCATGACCCCCCCCCTCCTGAGCAAACATAGCCAACAAAGCCAGGAGAAGATGGTAGCTGTACTGGGACATGTGAATTGGGTTGAAAGTCTGGGAAGCGATACCGATAGGATAGAGTAACTAGGGAGAATGGTTTTGAGCGACCTTTGGCAAACGATTGGCCATCAGTGATCGATCTTGTGGGAACCATGCTCTGTCCTCGCGAGGACGGTCAACTGTCCAACCGCTAAGGCATCCACAACATCAAAAAGTACCCCCTCCCCACCCTGACCAAACACAAGGATGATGACCACCAGCTTCTGGTAAATCTTTGTGAAACGTAGCCAGGGCCAACGAAAGCCCGGCGTTTTTCACTCCGTCCCGTCGTTCTTGGGATGCAACTTCAATGGTCTAAGGACGACGGCATACATGAGTACCCCCTCCCC